TCCTGTCTCACCCATCTCCCCCCCTTTCACTCTGTAACAATTGTCTTCTATTGATCTAAATACAATTTTGTTAATATAGTTACAACTTAATTAGCACGAATCACATTTATCACAATTCCATATATTAAATTCCCATCTGCAAAGGGTACCTGCATCCCAAGTATCACATAGGGACAGAGAATACAGTTCAGACTTGTGTCTTTAATCTCATCTGAAAGTATATTGATTTTATTGGGTACTTAGGGAAAATTCTATTCCTTCACACTCTGTCCTTTTTTTTTCTTATATTCATGTCAGCAGTTCGCTTCCACATTTGCTGACGTTTCTTCCACCCGCTGCCCACCTCACCTGGGCTACCGGCTGGCTCCAAGAAGCCCACGTCGCGAGTGGCCCCTACCCGGCACCACTCTGGGAGCCGCAGAAGGGGTGTAGCAACAGCTACGCCTGGGCGAGTCGTCAGGGAGGGACAAAGAGGTGCAGGAGAGACCTTTCACAGTTCTGGGGGAAGGGATTTATTGAAGGAAGAGGTAACACGTCCAGAGGTTGGGAGAAGGAACCGCAAAAGGCTGTTTGGGGGGGCGGGGTCTACACAGGATTAAGTACAGGGGAGGAGCAAGGGGAGGGCACAGAACTCTGGCCAATAACGGGTACCGGGGGGAGGTACAGAAGGCGGGGAAAGGGGAACATTGAGCCAATAAGGCAAACCGAGGGTGGGGATACATACAATACAACCAATCATGAATACAAAAGGGAATGCTTGACACAGAAACTTCTAGAACAAAGGGAGGGGCTACAAAGGATTGACATCCAGTGGGGCAGGGTTTAGGGTGAGGGACAGGGAAGGTTCCAGATAAAGGGGAGGGGTTTAAGATGACTGACTAGGGCAAAGGCGGGAAAGGGAAAACCCATTATGTTCTTAACTTAGGGGAATGAAACTGGGACGAACCATCAACATAGAAGGAAAATTAACATTAAACAACACAACGCAACAATTTGCATTACATGTAAAGGTTTGGGGGTTCAGCTCTTGCCGTCCTGGGAGAATGACTGAGTAGGCTGGAGGCTTTTGCTGGGTAGGACTCTGAATAGGGGGATGAACTTTCAAAGTTCCTGGAGAGGGGCTCACTTAAGCCAACAGACTTCTATATGATAAAGAGAAGACATGATCTACAAGAAAGGGACAAACTTAGAAGAAAAGTACGGAGCACTCATTAGTTCCTACATGGCAGTGAGATGAGCCTGTTTTTCTCCAGTGTTTTAGCTTTGCTGGTAACATGCAGTTTTCAGATTGCAGCCAAGCAATGCTCTAACTCAGCAGGAAAAATGATATGGCTGCACAGCTGCTCTGAGTCCTTTGCCTCTGCTGCAGCCGGTTGCATGTGGCAAGGACAGAAAACTGTTAGATGGGGTGAAATTCACCTGAGCACAAAGGCAAGGCATTGTTTATCTCTTGTTGCAGCCCTGCTCTTACCTAAATGGTACTCACTATGGAAATGTTAGGCAGTGTCTTGCTGCAGAAATGGGCCATCTGGTATTTTGTGCAATTGTTAAAGCAATGTCTTGTGTAGTGCAAACTGAGGTGAGTTTGTTGTCCTTCAAGGGACAATTTTATTTCCGTTGTTATAATGAATGCTACTCATTGCAATTGCTAAATCTGCAGTGTTCAGAGCAAGGTAGTGGACCATCTTTAATACCACTTTGAAGGCCCTGCCTGTGAGCATGCAAGAAGGTTCTGTCAAATGGTTTTATGCACAAAGGAGATTCTTCTTAAAAGAAGGCTCTGAAGTCAATGACATGTTCATATTCATAGGAGCTGAAAAGTGCAATGAACTAAAGATATGTAGGCAGGTAGCAAACAGATAAACAAACTGTGCTCTAGATAATTTAACAGATATGTATCCTTGGAAAAATTGAATGAATAAAAGGCACAGTCCTTGGGAAATACTGTGCTCCTGCCACTGCCACACATGAAACATAGACATATTTACAATTTGAAAGATAGGAAAGAGTCAATATGTAAAAACATTCCTGAAAACAGATGTTTTCACATACACACCTATCTCTCAGGCAGTAGGTGTTGAAAGCTGTGTGACCAGACACTTCTAGCTCCATCTGAGGCTGGGAACTGAAAGATGTGTTCATCAAAGGAAAAAAATGTATTGTGCCATGGTGTTTTCTATCTTTTCCTCAAATTTCCTACCCCCAGATGGCTGCTAACTTTATGTAACTTGCAGCCAAGGATCCTCCCACAAGGAGCAGGAACAGAGCCCAGACTGATCTCATCCAAGTGGGGCCTGGTTCCATCTCGAAACTGATTCATGCCTATGTTAAAATCAGGTGAGCTTTCCCAGCATGCAGAATTCCCCATGCAGTTTCTCTCAAAGGCTTACATGAAAGCTGCAGTGCTACCCAGGATTAGAGTCTGCTGCCCATTCTCGTTTGAAACATTTTATCCCAAACTCAGGCTATTTGGTTAGATCAGTAAATTTAGTTTAGAAATGCCCAGAAGTGAAACCATTAGTAACAACAGAATGATTCATTCCAAAGATTCCAAAAATCTGATCCCTCAGAGGCATAGCCTGGAGAAGTTTGTTTGCTATGGATGACTTTCTAGCCAGCTACTGAGATGACTGCCAGTAAAGTACACTTGGTGGCACATAAACCATTATGGTGCCAAATATGTATGAAACTTATTATCTCCAAAATTGTCAAAGAAGTTCTCCACCAACCTAGCAATGTCATGTCATAAGATTATTTGAAAGGAATGCCTAAAAAATTGTGTGACTAGGGTCATAATGAAAAAAACCTGTTCAGATTAGTAATTGTACACGGCCTGCATGAAAGCTGCCAATGAAATTCTGGGTGCTTCATTGGCTGGTGGTGCCAAGTGGCTGTTTAAATTCATTCAGCAAGAGAGTGTATTAGTCTGTGTAGCAGGCAGATGTAGCAACATGTGTGTGTGAAAGAACCTGTCCCTCACAAAAGCATGAGAGAGATGTACTTTTGGAGAGAGACTTTAAGCAACATAAAGGGCAGATGAGGAGCAACAGCCCACTTGTATCTTTCAAAGCTCCTTGTTGGGCTGGTGTTTAAAGATGGAAATTAATACACTTCTGAAGGCAACTGTATGACAGAGCAGGGGTATTTTTAAAAAATTAAGACTGTATTGTGAGTGTCCACACTATGAAATAAATTAAGAAAAAATGGTCTTCATGTTAGGTAGTGGCTTGCTTTTGCTGGTGTTTTCTCTCACAAAATATAATGCCTTATCTATGTAAGCAGGGTGACTTAGTGTTGTAGAGATTGTTGGTGGGCAGGGAAGACATTCCTGAACAGGGAAGGAATAAAAGAAAGAAAGATTTTAACTTGTTGGTTAAAGCATCTTAGTGCACAAACACTGTTAGCAAAAAATATTTCGGGATTATCTTGAACAGGTATCCCTCTGTATCAAACTTGGATAACTTCCTCTCTGGGTCTGCATTAGCTTTTTAAAGAACCCGTTATGAAAAATATACTTGCTGTTGGTTTCCTTTAAACATCCTTTTGCTTTTTGGTGACACTGTACAAACACACACTTAGAATCAAGTGCTAGAAATAGCTTCCTAGAACTCAAATTGATTTTTAGATAAGAAAGTAAACACGTGCATGTGTGCAAGTCACGCATGCATCCAGGCAGAACTAGTTATTTTTATTCTTCTAGATTAAATTATCTGTAAAAACATGAGGTGCTATTTATTGTTACCATGATTTTAATTTAAAATGCTAACAGTGACATGAAGTGTTGTCTCAGCTCATTTAACAGGCTGTGAAATGATTAGAAGGATCATAGAAATGTCTGACAAACCAACCTCAGGTAAAATGTAATCACTCATATTTGTTACTCAACCCCCAATTTTTCATAATGATGAGTAAAAATGGGTCATCTTGTTAAGCAAAAAATATTATCATTAGCAAGAAATGTTTCCATCTCACACTGAGGAAAACATGTGCACAGCCCAGTTTCATCCTCTCCCCACGGTTTGTCTTTGAGGGGAACTGGAGTAGGGGAAAAAAAAAGCAGCTGGACTGGTTTCCTTCAGTGCAGCTGTGGTAAGCTTGAAGAGAAAGTGTGCTGCCCATCACCTCAGCCTGGGGTGTCCGGAGGGTCCTTTGCAGCAAACTTCTCCCCTTGGATCCTTCTACCCTATGAGAATAATATCTTAGTTCCTCCTAGATGTGAATGGACAATTTTTATCCAACACTGCAGTGATTCCACAAAAAAAGCATCACCTGTATAAAAGATGTAGTCTGACTCTGGGCTTATTCCCCAGGAACAGCCTTATCTCCCTATTGGGGTCCCAGTATTGGCTGTGATGTGACAAAACCTATTGTTGCATTATGGCTCTTTTGAGGTTTCAAGGAGGCAAGTTATTTCACGGTGGCATTGCACTCTGAGGGGCAGAGGAAGAGACTGCATTTAGGGAGAAGTTTGGTAGAGGCACAGCAACTAGGGATGCTGAGAATTGAAATAATTACCTGGCAGTTCTAAAAATTAAATCCTTTTTTCCCTTGGAATGTATTTCTTTAATCTAAGCACTTGAGTGGACGAACTGTTCAATATTTTTTCAGTATCTATTTCTGTAAGAAACAGGACATAATTTGCAAGCCAGATTTCCCTTAAGAACCTTTAAAACCTCTGTTTTTAAAAACCTCTGGATAAAAATTTCCAACCAGAAATGGTTATTATGATATTACATATCATTAAATATATTGATAGTAATGAGACTTTTTTTTTTTTTAAACTGTGCTATTTTCATGAAATAACATTTACCATAATCCTTCTTGCTTTGGCTTGCTCTTTCTTGGCCTGATCTGTATGACAAATGCCCATTTATGCAGCTGGAACCCAACTCAGGACTTAGAAAAATAGAGAAAAACTACAGCTTTGTGACAAGGCAGGAAAAACTAAGGAGCTGCAGATAGTCATAGCTCAAGTGTGACTGGGAAAACTATTGAGACAAACCAATTTTGTACTAATGAGAAACATTTCTTAGGGCAAAGTGAGAGTTTGCAGTGATATATAGATCCCTATCCACGCTCCTTTGAATATCCTCCCTGAGACTGGATCAAAACAATCCAAATAGTGTGTGAAATGAAAAGAAATTAATTTACACTGGGCCATTGGGCCTCAGTTATTGGGATAGCTGTCACCTCAAGATGTGCAGTGGTAAGGGCAAATTGCTATTTACCTCTTAGCAATGCTGCAGTGGAGGGGGAACTTGAGTGCAAGTGGCTGCACAGAGGGCAGCTAATGTTGCTTGGTCTCCAGAACACACTGTTTTGCCATTTTTCTCTCCCTAGATACCTATATTCCAGTATTTGGAAAAAATCAGACCAAACTACAAACTCACTTCAGATGGAGATTGTTTCCAAGTATTGTGTTCTGCAGAGATATTCTACATTGTTTGGGAAAAACAAGGAGACCATCTGCAAATACTCAGTCTGGATCTGCCTTCAGGAAAAAAATAATTATGCCAATCCCAAGAGCTAACTGGAGAATTGCTCCTTTTACCTGGGTGACTGCGATCAGAAGTGGGCTTATATCTGCTCTCACAGCAATAGGTGGAAGTCCTCTGTCTACCAAAAGGAAAATTATTTTCTGACTTTTTTCATATAGGAGCTTATCTTTGGATTTGTGATACTCTCAGTGCACTTATTCTCCATTTCAGATTCGAAGTGGCAATCCATTACATGATCCAGTGACTTCTCACTTTCCTGTGCAAGGTCAATTGGGATAAAATTCTAACAGGCCTAACCCTGAAACCAGAACACAGAGTGCCCAGTTAGATTCTCCCATGACACAAACTGGTGACTTCACCAGCACACTGCCTAGCAAACATTTGGATGCAGCTGTATCAGACAGATATTTTATATACCAAATGCTACCTGCAGTATGTGTCCTAGAAAACAAACCAGGACTCTGTGACTAACAGAGGAATCCTGGTGAAAGGCATGATAAGGAAGCGACAGTGTAGAATCTCTTGGAAACACTCCTTGTATGGAATGTCCCCATAATATGGAGCTGAAAGGACCTCACTGGGTTTAAACAGCAACATTATTTTTTTGTGACCATTTCTCTGGTGTATAAATGTCCTGCTATTAGCAATGGATCCAAGCAGCCAATTTTAATCATCTTTGATTTTGAAAGGAATTAAGATAACCTCATTCCTTTAATGGCTGTAAAGATAGAAAGTGGAATAGAAATGACAGACCACATAAATTTCTAAACTTAGGGAAAGGCTGCAAAACTTTTGCTTCGTTAGACACTGTGTGTGCCCACATTGTCTTCTCAGCAGGAGAAAGACTTCTAGTGAAGCTGTCAGTCACTTGTGAGGATCCTTGGCCAACAGGATACTTCTGATGGGGTTGATTCTGTACCTGTGTGGGAGCCACATGTGAATTGACTTCAAAACCAATGCCCCTGGTCTCCCAAGCAGAAACAGAAGAATACATGTGACTGATATACCTCAACTAGTCACTCATCGACTGTCTTGGGCATGGGTCACTTTAAGATGTAGAGGATGATCAAACTGCAGTTCAGTCATGTAATATTTAATTTAATTGTTAAGTTTGTCAGGTTTGAAGTCAGGAACTGTTTTCTAAATTCATATGGGGTTGGATTTTATGTAACTTACAATTTCTGTTATAAAATGTATTTTGAATGCATTTATCTCATATGGTCATTCAAAAAGGCTACATTAATTTAATCTGAAGGCATTTCAATATAGGATTGACATCAGGAATACTGGGAGGAGTCTGTTTCTGGCCTCTTATCTGGAAAAAAGGAAATATAATTCCTTGTACTTTCTCAACCTTCTACTGTTTCTTTTAGAAATTCTACAGGAACATGCAATGATCAGCGAAATAGTTCATTGAAACACCTTGGTATCAGTGTTTAGTTGGTGGCATCATATAGAGATGTGATGCTGGTGCCACTGGGAACACTATAGCAGCTGAAGGAGAACTGCAGAACATTAAAAAGACTTGATCAGAAGATGAACAAGCTCTCAGGGTAAAATTAATCTGAGAACACCTGAAATAGTACAAGTTTATTCTAAGCTGTTCTGGCCTCTCTGTCTAATTATCGCAGAAAGATAAGGGTGATGCATCCTAGCTGACTTAGGCATCTGCATGTTATAGGATGACATCTTCAACGACTGGGTCAATAAGCACCTTAGAGAAGACACCTACTTCACACTGCTCAGTTACCTAAGATGGAGCCTATAAAGTTTTCTCTTGCCATAACTTTCACCATGATAGGGTTAGGCTTTACCTCACTGTCAGACAGATTATTAATTTTCACCTTATCCAATCAAAACTGAACCTGAAGCACATTACAATAAGGTAGTTCCCCATGTTTAATTTGTTTTGTAGGACTACATGCTGCCCTTCTGCCCAGCTAAGAGAATGGAAAGACTTTCAACTGACCTCAGCCAGCTGAAATGAAGAAATAAGTTACTGAGCCTCCAATAAGTGCTCAGGTAAACACCCTAAATTCCAGTCTCTACCTATTTCACCAATCTAGTGGTCACATATCATGGCAATCAAAGCCAGTGGCATTCAATAGAAACAGTTTGCTCTTCAGTTTAAAATTAAATAAGTAGTCAGTTATGAAAAGCCTTTGCAAATTCTTTGCACATGTGTCCAGTACAAATCTTCATAGATTTCCATTTAGGAAAAATCTGAAGAGGAATTGAATGCATTTCTACTGGCACATTCTGATGATATTCAAGAAGTAGGTGTTGCAGGCTGTGGGAACTAAGAAATTAAGAAAAATACTTCAGTGCTGTCAAGAGTAGGTGTAGACATTTTGTACCTGCTAAACCAAAATGATGGGCCTAACATTTAAAATAATATGCTGATCTAACACTTGAACAGAACAGTGATTTTAGATAGACAATGATCTTTTCTCTGCTATCCAGTTTCCCTAATACTAGAAGGAAGCCAAATGCCTTACAATGCAAATCAAATGCAAATAAAAGGATGGTGTGATTCATCTGATAAAAATGTTTCACTTAAGAAACCCCAGAAGGCAGGATATAGATCCCCTGTTTAATTCTCCCTATCCCCTTCTGACTTCTCTGTACTAGCAGCAGTGATTGTGCAGGATTTTCCTTGTTTTGTATTCAGTGGAGGTATGTCTGGAGAAAAAAACATGGGTACAATGCTTCCTTTTTTTGTTGCTGTCTGCTGCATTTATTCTTCAGTTAGGGAGCAAGCAGAATAGTTAGTTACTAGTTGAATCCCAAATCTCTGGATAATGTAGATGGCATAAAGCCTTCTTCAAATTAGCTTGTGTGCTGTAACAGCAGCAGGAGAGCTTTGTTCGAGCTAGACATGAAGTGTGGAAAGAATATCTCACTTCGTTTTAAATCTGTAGAAATGCCTTTTAAAGTCTCAGTCTCGAATTCCCTTAAAAGCTAATACTAGAAGTTTGGTGAAATGTTTAATTTTTAAATTAAGCATCTGACAGATACACTGAATTATGAAGCCTGATTTTATAATGAAAAAACGTAACATCTCTAGAAAGTGAATGCAATGGAGGACCAAAGCAGAAGCAGGAGCAAGAATGTGAGAAGACAGACCTTGCAGAAACATGTTCCTAATGTACTGGAAAATTGGAAATTGAACCAGCTGAAGAGCAGGTATGCACTGAGCTTGAGAAAACACCATTCACGGTGCTTAGGGCTGAGTTCTACACGTTGAACTGCCACTGATTTCTTAAGGGTTCCAAGTCAATGTTAGTAGAAGCGTGTAAGGGCTGCAGGCACAGGCTCTTTATGCTACTAGCAGTCATATTTTGGGACTTTATTAAGACTCAGATTTGCTGAACAGATTGTACTGCAAAACCATGCTGATTAGCATCTAAAATTCCTGGACAACTGCCACAGATTCCTGGGAGCTGTCAACACCACCAGGAAAAATTGTTTTAGAGATGCTGATTGCCTGAAATAATTTAGGGCATAACTTGTCCTTTTGCAGTAATTTTTATTATATCCATGTAGTCATCCTGGATTTTGACAAAACCCCATTGGTACATGCCTGAGAGCTGTTCTCAGGAGTCTTGGAGACAGTGCTTCTGCAAAGATTGAACCAGTGGGTTTGTTCTAGAGTCTAACCCAAACTGCTTGGGATGATGCTGTATAGGAAGTGTTTCGGTGTGTCTTTTTCACAGGTTGTATTAATTTTCCATGGTAGGGCACTATTTGGTGAGTTGGTGAAGGGATTTTGGCAAGGCAGAGTTACAGTAGTTAATTCCTTATTTGTTTATCTCTGCAGTAAGGTTATTATTTCCAGCTGCTCCCACAGTTTGCATCAGAGAGTTTCAGCCATTCAGTCAAGGCTGTAACCTCACTCATCTTCAGTCAAGCATCAATTCAATGATAATACAGTTCAGTTAACCTGAGACTTTCACCTATTTGGTTCAATTCTACTCCATTACATGTTACTGTTTCTAGTTTTCTTCTGTAGACTAGAAAATTATCTGTAGATTTTTGAGGTACAAATCCCATCCCTAACTGATTCAGGAGAGCCTGGACTCCCCTTTAAGAGATATGCCATACTGTCAAGCAAGAAGACACTCTGATTTGTCATCTCATGTTCTCCCCTCATTTGGTGGAATGCTTTTTCTGTATCCAAAATCCTGAACTCTGCAGCAGAGACAGGAGCCCAAGACTTATCCTGGGTGCATGAAGTACCAGGATTAGGTAGAGACTTTCCTTTAAACCTCCCTCAAGCCCACTCTTAGATATATTGGCTGTCCATGTGCAGCTCTAAGTATCATACCTTGATTAAGCAAAAGCCATTTGGCTCTCTGATGGGATTTCTCCACTGAACGAACTGGACAAAGATTTCTTTTAGGAAAGTCACAGTAACTAAAGAAGAGGAGGGAGTATCTAAACAACAGGAAAAAATATAGCATCCGTAAATATATAACCTAGGTGTTATAAATGAGAAACAAAAGTCTCGATATTCAGGAAAATTTACATTGCTTTATTTGATATAGACAGAGCAAGCAGTGCTGGGGAACGTGAGGGGTCACTGCCCACTCCACGCTCCATCAAACCTTGGTTTGCAGCCTCTTTTTATACTATGGTTTCTAGTTGTAATCAATAATTTTTGGGGTTTTGCTGTCATAATTTTGCCAGGTAAGCAGTGGTGGTCGAATAAACATTCTTATCCAAACTCACAAAGCCTCTGGGCAGTAGTAAGTCACAGATAGCCATCTGGTCCTTGTAGATAACCACCAGAGAAGTTCTGGAAGTCTGGTCCTTGAGAGAGGCAGCACTGATCAGACAAAGGAAGGAAAGACTATTGGGAAGTCTGATTTTGCAAGCTGGTAGTAGATACAACCTATTTGGAAAACATAACATAACATAGCACAACACAATATAACATGGTGATTTAAAACAGAATGATTTAATCATATATTTTCTTTTATCTAGTGTCCATGGTTCACTTCAGAGCTTAGTATTCTGATTTATACAAACCCCAATACTTCTGTGATTAACACGAATCTTTTATCAATTATTGCATAGGGTAGGTTATGAAGCAGAGCGACATAGAGTCCCCAGATAGGTGCAAGAGAGAACCCTTTATTGCAAAAAATAGGCCTTTTAAAGCAGTTAGACCTTTATCAGTTACATTCCAATTAAGCACAACAAATATAATTCAACCAACCACCATAAACCACAATATGAGCATGTAAAGGTTATATAATTTGTTTTTCTACCTTAATTCAGCTGAGTCACTTTCCCATAGTCCTCTTCTACTTAGCTGAAGTAGCAGGCCTGAGCCATGGTTTTACAAGGGCCTTATTTTGTAAGGGTTTACCTATACGCAACAGGATAGGGCTTCCCAGTTGTGGCATGAGCTTGCCAGTGGTATGCAGAGGACTTCAGGATGGCATGAAGGTATTTAATGAATATCTGAATGCCTCTCCTTGCCCTAAGAAACATGGCCCAAGATGGAGACAGGAACTCTGAACAGCTGCCTCTGCCATCTCTGCCTCCAGGTGAGACAAGCACTCTGGAGAGAAGCAGAGCACCCTGTCCTCTGCCTTGCACCTTCGGTCCAGAATTTCCTTCAAGGCTAGCCTGCTGTGTTTGTGTCCCAATTGTAAATGTCAGGGGTCCAGTTGAACTGCCAAGCACCTGTGAAATCCTGATGAAGAAATGAGGCTTTAAAAATTTTCCCTTCTAACTGCATTTTCTTATATTTTAAATAAGCATATGTTAGCCCGGAGACTTCTGTCTTCTGTAGAAAGCTGTTAGCAACACTGTATATCTCACTCATTCCAGCACATTTTACTTCCCACAAATGTTGACAACCCCGTGCAAAGCAATGAGGATCTGTGCTTCTGACCATCACCTATCAAGGAGGAATTCAGAGACGAAAGTCAAAAAATTAGGGATGAGGAATGGATGGGAGACACTATTTAGCTCATTTGTTTCATCTGCCGACGACAAACAGAGCTGAAAAACTGGTAGCAGAAGAGAGATATGACTCCCATTCCTCTCCAATCAATCTAGTGAATAATTAATGCACTTTTTCTCAGTACATAACAGTATACTTTTAACAATACGTGCTACTAGTGTAGCTATTGAAGTACCATCATATTAAAATGCATAATTAGATTAACTGCAGGAACCCAAGAACACAGTTAAAAATTCATGGCATGCTTTTTAGCGGCAGTGTACTGTGCACCCGCCGGGAAGCTGCCATGAACCGCTCCCTCCCGCTCTCCTAAGTGCAATCATCAGAAAGACGTGGCACCGGCCTGCTTCAGGAAAGTAAATTAACGAGGAAGAAAGAAGCCAAGAAAGGTACTGTCCTGGCCTTTATTGCTGGTACTCACTTTTGTGGCTAGACACCAGGTTACCGTCGGTAACAGCGCGCAGGCACCGAGGTTTCCCTGCCGGAGCCTCGCCAGTCGCTGTCCCGCGGGACGCTGGCGGGGCCGGGGCCGGGGGCGGGGCGGCCGCTGCCGTTGTTGAGGCGGGAGGTTTGAACGGCGGCACCGCCACCGAGGAGAATGAGAAGGATGAGGGGGAAGCGGCCGGGTGCCGCGGGACCGGCGAGTGCTGGGGCCGGCAGGGCAGGGCAGGGCAGGGCAGACCCGACCCGGCCCGTACCCTCCGGTGCCGCTGGGCTGGTGTGGCGGGCGGTGCTCAGTTGCGGGCGGCCCGAGGGCGGGAGCTGCGCTGTCTCCGAGCTCGGCGGGTCTGTGGTGGCCGAGGGCTGCCCGCGCACCGTGGCCGGGTGGCGGCGGTGCAGCCGCGCTCCTGAGGGACCTCGCCGGGGGTTGGTTTTCCGATTTTTGAGGGTTTTTTACACCTCGAGTTCGTTAAAAACCCAAAGAAGTTGAACTCGGGAGTGTCTGTGAAACTGTGGCTGTCAATTGCAGCAAAGGCTCATTTCTATCTCTAGCTACAAAATGCCCAGGCTGCTGTCTAGACTACGTAGCCTCTGTTTTAGAAGAGTACCCACTGCCTGGCTACTTGCTTACTTTAATTAGATACACTATACTTACGGGGTTTAGATGTAAACCTCTGTGGCAGTAAATCAGAAGTGTACCTTGGAAAAAGATTCTGAAAACCTGTGATGAAGTTGCCAATTAAATCAAGTAAAATTTCTACCTGTCCTACCTTCAGCAGTATTTGTATAATTTTTCTCAGCTGTTTTTGTTATATTTGTTTTCTTTGTGACTGCGTTACCTGTGTAATACTAGAAATACTTGAAATTTCTTATACTAAGTATACTTAGGTGGGGAATACAAAGACGCTTTTTGGAAGTGTTGCTTAGGTAGTTCCCGAGTGTGGCGTTGAAATCCCAACCGCTCTTAATAATCTCATCTAGATTGTGCTGCCACTGGTGGGGGAAGGATGAACCCCACAGGGGAAACGGTGCATTAGTAGACAGCATATGGCAAAACAGTGCTGTGTCATTCCTCCGAGTCCAGCTGGTGTGCCTATATTTTAGACAGAATGGCCGGGGGGGGGCGGGAAGACCAATCTCTTTTGGTAGGCATAAAGAACTTCATACATTCCCAAAAGAGGCTGCTAAGTCCTTCTTTCAGATGAGATTTATATGGTGTGGTTATTTAAGCTCAACAGCCATTTAGTTCTAGTCCAGAATATTTTATGTGAGCCTGGCTGAGATGTAGTGTGGACTGAATGCTTTGTGTAGTTTTTGAAAGCCCCAGTATGGATACATGCAGATGCCCCAAATAGAAGTGTTTATTTCCTCACTGTAGTTCTGTAGCAGGTGATAGACGCGGAGAGGAGCCTGGGCATTGCAGAGGTCTGCTGTCTTGGGAATTATTAGGAGGAAGTAGGATGTTATTTGGAGCTTTGTAGCAGCTGATTTATGAGTTTTGGCTCAGAGAATAAGTAATTATTTCTTAGGGACAGGTGTGGGCCTTGCTTAGGTTTTCATAGCCATGTAAAATCTGACTCAAAAGGAAAGAAGAGAGATGAAAGGTATTTATTCCTCTCCTCTCCTTTTTTGTTTGTTTGTTTTTTGGTTGGTTTTTTGTTTGTTTGTTTGTTTTGTTGGTTTTTTCTTTGTTTTTTGTTTTCTTTTCTGAGATGAGTCCTAAGAAGAAGTGTGAATAAAAATGCAGTTGCTGAGTATGCAGAGGTGTTGTTGCCCTACTTTATCCCCTTCTCGGTGTGATCGAAACTTTGGAAAACAAACCTGTGAGGGTTAAAAATGGGATAGCCTGTACTGCTCTAGAGGGTTCTGGGCTTCCATATGTCCACTGTAGAGAATACCAGCAGAACTTCTAGGGAAAACACCTCTGATGTGATCTTTGGGAGCTATTTACCACCAAACAACTATGAACTTGTTAATTCCAGAGGTAGTTGGGGCACTCTTGCTTAATAATGAGAAAGCATCGCTGTTCACTGACCTGCAAAGTATTTGCAATGCAGCCCTGCAATACCATGACAACATTCTGTTATTCACTCTGTTCTTCACATGTCAGAAATACTTGGTTTGGCCAGGGATAGCCACATAATAAGGTAATGTATATCAACCATCAGTAGCATCCAGTGGGCCTTTGGGAGACAGCAGTCTGTGATCCTTCACCTTAATTATTTTCTGGCCTGATGTGGATTGACCTCCTTGAAGTCATAAGTGAGGAATAATGCACATTTATAAATGTTTTCTGTGGAAGTAGGCAGGAAAAAGTTGACTTCCCAGCAGTTTTTAAACCTTAAAAAGCCCCACTCCTTCAGAATAGGGTAATGGTGAATTCTAGTGATTTGCCAGTCATGTTTAATTTACTTCATAGTTTGAATGAAAAGTGTGCCTGACGTGATGGCTGTATAGTCTTGAAGCCACTACAACTGTTTGACTTTTCAGTTCATGGCCTAATGCAGTTGAGTATTGGGGTAAATCTCCTTTTTTGTTTTGCTTCTACTGTTACATGAATTTGTTATCAACCAGAAGTGACAAAACCAGGTTTTCTTCACTTTATAAAAGACAGCCAAAAAGATGCTGAGATTGAGTTTCTGATTTAAAATATTTCAGACATTTTCTTCAGTTTAAAGTTTGTTTTAGTAAGGGTCACTGTGAAAAGTGGATTGTTAATTTATAGGCTTTGTTCAGTTAGCCCTCTTTGGGACCATATCTTATTATTCTATGAATGACACATACATTTTTAGTAACTTTCAGATGGTACAGTGAGCTAATCTTGGTTTGGAATTTCATATATAGTGGATATAGTAAATCTGTTTTGTCCCATGTTTTACTCATTTATTCCTGAAGAGAGAACTACCATTCTATATTCAATAACCATTGCAATAGCAGTGCATAATTAAAACCTAGAATTCTCCATTCCAACTGCCAAGGATGTAAAAAACTGAGAATACTGTTAGTTAGTTTTTCGTTTAATCCTTTGGTATTTTTGCATATCTAGGAATGTGAAATCCAAGAGAAGATCAACTTTGAGGTCCGCATGCGAGAAGGCATCGGCAAACTGCTCGCAGTGAGCGCGCAAAAGGAGCAGCTTCTGTGCACAGTGAAGTTGGTTTGCAATGCTCGCATCCGGGCCTACAGGGCTGAGCTGCAGGGCCGAAAGGAACCCAGCCCGGGCAGTACTGAAGAGCAGTGAGTAACAGCTCAAATTCAGAGGGAGCAGGATGAAGCGGGCTTTTACTTACGTGAATTTTTAGTAGTCTGTCTAGGAATGTGGATTTGAATCCTTCCTTATCTCTTAACCATAAATTAAGGCATTACTTTATAAAATAATTCCATTTATCTTCTTTTTGCTTTAGAAAATTAAATATAAGTAGTATTTTCCTGGGTATATTTCATTTTTTATATTAAACTGTAATTTAGTATCAAGTAAAATAATGGACATATTTTATTGATTACCCTTAGCATACAAAAAGTTACCTAGCCAAGTCTGATGGGACAAAGCAAATCTATCCAAGTCAGAATACAGCTATTTGTATTTTTCATTCTTTCTATTGTCATCAAGGGTCCTTTAAAAATAGCCCCATCATGGTTAATTGGTACCCTCTGCTGGCCGCTTGTGTTAACTACAGCAAAGTGATAAATGCAACACTCGATGGAAAGAAAAGTAGCTGAAAATATTCTCACGTTATAACTCTTGAAGGAGCTAAAGTATGTGTGTTTTATTTGATTAATGTTACAAATTTTAGTCTAAATGGAATTTATTTGGGGTGCAATGTTGAGAATCGTGGTGCAGGGACACAATTTAGTTATTAATTTAATGAAATATTATGTTGCAGTTTAGGATAGAAACTCTTTGAGCACATGCTTGCCTCCAGTTAATTGTATCTGTAGGAGCAGTTCCACTGCTTTTTGGTTTCATAGAAGTTGCCTTAGAAGAGAAATGTGTTGGAAGAAAGAGCAGCATTTTCCACTATTCTGAAGCTGATTTTGAAAATTAGCATAAAATACATGTGGCATTCTGTACTTATTGCATTTGTGTTGCTCTTTCCTAATAAAATAAGCAATTTTGTAGTGATTCATCTTTTATTTATGTTTTTAGTGATGGAATAATATCACATGTGTATATGTGCTGATTTACTCCTTTTCTTTGATGTTAGTGAGCACGGAATGGTGATGGGATGTGTCCGGAACAGGGCAGGGATATTTGGACAAGTATCTGAACAGTTTTATCGTGTACTTAATTTGTGACTGCCATGTGCTGGGATTTCTGTCTTCAGGGGTCCTTGAGATGTCTATGGAGGTCATTAGAAGAGATGCATGCTACAGAGTTATTTCTCTATCATGTAAATTGTGTCTTTGGTAGTTGATAGTCTGTTTGGACTTCTTTTGATATTTGCTTCGGATTGGAATTTGTTTAATGCTTAATCGTGGCAGAGAGAGAAAATTCTAGGTTTTTCTAGGGTCTGTCATCTGTGAGTTCTGAACATATTCTAACTGCCTCTGGAAGTCATGATACTGATAGCAGCTAGAAATTTTCATTTCATTTATAGAGGAGGAGGCAATTCTTTAAACAATAATAGAACTAATAAATTAAGTTGCATCTTCATTGCCATGTATAAAAGGGAAAAATTGATAATGCATTTGATCCTGTTACAGGTGGAAAAGACGATTAATTTACTTGTCTTTTAATACTCAGGTTACATATGCTTTGGAGT